AGAATTATAATACTAGACTTTATTATTGATTTACTTAAAGTATTAATATTGGGAATACTATAGTATCTCCCAAGGTTCGATTTTTTTAATATATTAATACCGATATTATACTATACTTCTAAAAAATATCGCTTTATTCTAGGTTATTATATATATACAATTAAGGATTAGGGAAGAGTATTAGCTAGGGATTTAATTTTAAGTAATTAAGGATTTTTATAAAGTATTATATCCAATTAAAACCGGAAATTTATATTAAAAATATAAAAAGGTATATAAATAATACTAGGAACCAAACTTTCAATAACTATTATATACCACCCTTAAAATAACGGTATAATTAAATAATAAAATTAAAACGTAGAGATTACTATCCGCTTCTATTACTATATAACACTAGAATCCAACTAGGTAGAAATACTTCCGAACCTACAATAAAATATAAATAGTGTATATTTAAACTCTATTAAATTATCTCCGTACGAATAATTATTCGGATTCAAATTACTCAATCCCTTAGACCTTATTGTAAGGAAGGATATCTCCGGCACCCTTAAATAATATTAAGTATTAAAAAACGGCTTAAAAGAAGATACGTAATTAGTAATAATATTCGCGGCCGCTAAAATAAAAAAGTAATACAACGGTAATTACTAATAAACTTCCTTTTCAGTAGGAGATAAAGTATTCCTTAAATTATATAAAGGATATTACTTATCCGGCTACCTTTCGAGAAAATTCTTTTAGTAACGAGTTAATTTATTTATTATTATTAAGTATATTAGTAATTTAATTTACTAATTAGACCTACTGCCCGAAATAGCCGTTTACCCTATTATTTTAATAATTTACCTTAAGCGAGCGCCGTGTGGAAAAGATCCTTTCAATCGAATATAATCTCCCTCCGGACCGGTTGAAGATAGTTAAGAGGACCCGGATAATAAAAGCAAATATAAAATAAATATAATTTTAAATTATATAAAGGATAAAAAAAACGGAGGTTAAAAGTATTTAGTAAAATAAACCGGCTATAACTATTATTATAATAAATATTTACTTGAAAAGGAAATAGGGAATACTTAGGATTTAATTGTAAAATATTAAGAGCGTTTAGGAAGTCCCCCTAAGGTTAAAACCAAAGCGAAAAGAAGGAGGAGGGTCTACTTTAAATAAAATAAATTAATAGGACTAGTAAAACACGCGTCTCCCGCGTATAGTAGGAATTTAAAACTAAGAAAAAAATAAATAAAATTATTTATATATATATAATTAATTCAACTATTGAAGATAGTAATATTTCGTTTTAGTAGCCGGGATTTAATACCGGAATAGTATCGTTAGCGTTATTACCTATCAAATTACCTAACTAAATAACGCAGCCTAATCGCTCGGGTTTAATTAAATAAACTACTTCTACGGGAACCCGCCTACCTTATAGGTCTATAAATTAAATAAGGCTTGCGTGCCTTTAAAGTCAACCGACCGCACATAAGCTTCCTACTCTGGATTCTTTCTATAGCATCTTCTTACACATATTCAATCAGACACATATTATTGTCACAACGTTCAAATACCCTCTCAACGGTATTAACTTAAATATACTATATACTATTAAGTATATCCCTCGGGAGTTATATAGGTTACATTTCTAACCTTAGTATTTCTAGTACTTTTAATATCTACCGCATTTTATATATTTAGTTAGAAGCTCTATACCTTACTAGTATAGACCTCCCTTTTCTTCTTTATCGATTATTACAAGCTCTTTTCAAAGCCTACCTATGTATATACGTCGTAGATCCCTTATATTTCTAAATATATAATTTTTATAAAGCTCGGACCACCTATTATAGTAATACAACCTTAAAGGTAAGCCTCCGTCGGCTATAATTACTTTAGAACTTTTAGACACTCCTTATTTCGAGGGTCAAAATTGGTATTATAGTAATAAAGAATATATCCTAAAGATGGCCTCGTCGAGACGATTCTAATGGTACCATTTTTATAATGCACGGACCACCCGTTGAGGTAATACAATTTGGAGGGGGTAGTATTCTATTTTTTTACTTTTATAACTTCTTTTATTTTTAGGCTCGATACTACTGTAATGGATGGAATATTTATATAAGAAGGATGGCTTCGACGAGGCGGTTCTAATAGTATCCTTTTTATAAGGCACAGACCACCCCTTAAGGTAATATAGCCTTAAGGGGGTAAAAGTCCCAAAGTTTAAAGCCTTGTATCGCAACGAATATAAATGATATGGAAAAACTAAAACCCCTATTAGAAAGAGAATAAAAAGTTCTATATAAAGCGTATTTGTTCTTATTTATATTAATTTTGCTGGATTTATTATATATATTAATAGTTGGTTGTTCTTCTGTAGCTAACGGCCAAAAAACCCAAAACCCGCTCAAACCTACTACCGTAAAAACGGGTAGGGTAGGGTGGGTTTTAGAGGTTAAGTGGGTCTGAGAACTGAAACTAGGTATAGACTTCCCTCTTCCTCTTTGTCGGTTATTACAAGCTCTTTTCAAAGCCTACCTGCGTGTATACCTCGTAGATCCCTTACACTAAGGATGCAGCTTATCCTCGCCTATATAGGATAAGCCGCTACGTACAGATTCTTTAGTTTCCCTTCTTCCTTATACAATTACACAAGTTATATTCTACCCTATACGTTTAGTATTGCCTTGCCCCGTGACAGATAGCGACGGTAGTAACGGTAGCAACGATACTAATAATAGTCTTAGAAGCTATTATACGCTAGCACAAGGCACACTGGGAGCATTGTAGGTACCTTTCCAAATCCTCTAATAAAAAGTAAGAAGGGAGAGAAACAGCCCAATTGAGAAACCTGGAGGGGAGAAATATCCAAAACTTGGACTACTCTATTTACTCCATCCACAACCACGTCTTAAATGCTCGCGAATCCTTATCCGCGGGCGCTGTCTCTTGCGTCTTCTTTCTTCCGTACAATCCCCAAGCCATATGCCTCGTAGGGTTCGCAGCTAAGCGCTCAAAGTTCTTTACAGTCTCCGAATCATTACCCTCGACAGTCCTTGCATGCTCCAACGCCATTCGAATCAACTCCCCCGCTCTCGCCTTATCATCAGTCGCAGCCATCATCTGGAAGGCATCATAGTAGGCGCGATACACCTGGCTGTTGTACGTACCCTCATCGTCGAGTAGCGACAGCATCCTGCGCACCATCCCAAGTCCAAGTTGGACGTTGCTTCCCGCGCTGAGAATAGCCTGATCCAGTCTATGGATGGTGGCAAGCCTCTCATCGCTGGCCCTACGTTGGTCGGGTGGCAATGAGCACAACTCGCATGCGCAGTCAAAGTTGAACTTGATCTTGAGAATGGACTGACGCTCGACATACGGCGCGAAGTGTCCAATGTAAGAGATGGTGATCTCCTCTCCTTTTTTGATGTCACGGACAGCATGGATGGTCTCGCGGCTGATGCGTGAATTCCAGCTATTCTGCGTGTTTGGGTTGCAAGCGTGGTTGATACGCGATGCTTCAATGAACAGGCCACCACCGACGGGCGGCGAGCCGAGGCCGAGCATGTTCGTCTTGCAGATGGCGAGGAAAGGGCTGAACGTGGTCCCGTGGCAGTTGTGCAGACTGAGGAAGGCACGTTGCTGGTCTTTATCGAGTGTCTTGAGTTTCTCAGTAAGGTGCTTCTCGACGACTTGGTTGCCTCTTTCCATAACGTTGGTCGGCACAATGAAGAGTGGCTTTTCAGCCATGATGCGCGTGCCTTTGGCGATGTCTTGGGTTGCGATGACGCCGGTACCCTTGTTGGGAATTGGGACGATGTCGTAAAGTCTTTGCTGGTTGTTCGCCGCCATCGTGTGTGCTTCTTGAAAGAATTGAGGGAGGAAGGCTTGCGGATCAATGTGAAGAAATGAAGAAAGTTGTCTGTTTGGTTCCGTCAGAGGTGAGTTGGGTGTGCTTTCTTACCTCTATATATACGGCTTTGTTTATGACCGATGACCCCAAGTTGTTGCCTTGACGGAGGAGGACCTAACCCAACAAACTACACTACTATGCATATTAGAACTCAAATGTCAGTCTTCCATGTCTATTTGTGGTCGTCGATGCAGGACTCAGGTGGTTTGTCAACAGCTTTGGGCCTCTCGCAGAGACCAGGGCGACCAATCTTATCACTTTGTCGTTTTTCTCATGGGCCTCCCGCGTCAATGTCCGGCAAGCAGCGTTGTCAGCGAGTGAGGACCCGGGACAGCGAATAAACGGGAAGTTGCAGTTAACTCACTTGAGTTGGAAAACTCTCACCGGCTTGATATCATTGCCAGACGAAGTGTCATGGAATACACTCGCAGATGTTTCAAGTTCGCACGTCAATGCTCCAGCACGACGGGTCCCGCTCCCCGAAACACCATACGGAGATTGCTCTGATCGTCTCCCTGGATTCTCAGCGAAGACAACGTCGAAGACACTTCAGGGACACAATATCACTTGGGCTGCTGCGGTCTCCGAAGACAAAGTCTGATGCTAGGATCAAATGTTAGTGATGCGCCTTGGGGTCAAGTCAAACCGACCTATCCTCCTCCACTTCAGCATACTCGCTGTATAACACATATTGCTTCACTCCAGTCCTGGTCATCATCGATCGCATGGCGCAAAAATGGCAGCCGGCGGCACTGGATCGTCTCAATTGCCCCTCGTCCACAGGCTGTGCAAGAAGGTCGCCTTCAGGGATGGGAATAGCAAGTCGGACGGCACTTCCTTTTCAAAACCGGATACATACCTCTACCTAGGTACCTCTACTTGATTGCTCTTGTTTCCTTGTTGGATTGGCTGGCTGCCTTGGGTGAGGACGGGAGATCTCCGAGGAGCAACTTAGGTAATGCCTGTTTTGCAATTTGCACTGGTCACCCCCCTGAAGCAAGCTCAGCTACAGTACATTTACAGCGGCTTTACACAACTGCTGGAAACCCCTTCTCACCCCGCAAGACCCTGCTCCTCCCCACTACCAACCCCCACCGGTCCCTCCATTCCCCTCCTCCTCCACATCCCAGTCCCTTTCGACCCTCCACGCATCATTCAACCCATTTCCCCGCATTTCCCTTGTCCTTCCCAGCCGCCCACTTCTTCGCGAGATCACACCCACGATGTCCCCATTTCTGCGAATATACCGCCCGTCCTGTCTCGATCCACATCTCCACGCCGGTTCCGAAACCCTCTGCGTCCCGATAAAACGGCTCTCCTTGTCCTCCCTGCTGCTTCATCTGCCAGCTCTTGGTCCGCCCTTCGTAGCCGTTGCCGCGGGCATACTTGGCACGTTCCATGCGACGGGCCGTCGACAACAAGTTGGCGTGCGTTTCAGCTTCCGTGATCTCGGATGTGTCTTTCGTCATCACCGCTGCTGCTGAAGTGGCTTCCGCTTTCTGGTTCCGGGCCGGGGGGTCAGGATCGCCGGGGAAGGAAGCTTTGATACCCGGGATACGAAACAGCGCGCCGATGTCGTCGAGAACAGTGCTCACGTCCAGGATGTGCCCTGCCTCTGTTGCTGGTGCTGTGGACTCGTTCTGTGTGTAGCCCGCCCACATCAATCGTGTGTACATGTCGCAGTCGGTACCGTAGAAGGGAATGTGCGTGTCCCAGCCGCCAACGGAGAGGATCGCATCCCGGTGGACGAGGGTAAGATGGTCGTAGGAAAAGAAGTGATGAGCCCACTTGGGATGGGAAGGGTCGCGGTATTGGCGGAGGGTATGGAGGGCATTGGCGTAAAGAGAGCGGTATATGTATTCCTCGGGCTCGTTGTTCTCGAACGTATTGCTGCATTAATGGGAATCTGGTGTGCCAGAAAACCGTGCCATAGAAAAAACCGTTACAGAACGGCGATATCCGTACATCTCAGAATAACCATTCTACTCAAAATAACCGTTCAGTTTAGAGAAACCGTTTTAATGGAATCCTTGGGCTCTGATTGGTTGCAATAAGAATGGGGGGCTATGTGTTGGGTGGGAGCTAGTAAGAGTTGAAGAGACTCCCTTTTTAGGAAGGGACGATGGAAAAGAGATGGTTTGAAAGGGAGAGAAGGAGAGAGAAGGAGAGAGAAGGAAACAGAGTTCAAAAAGTCACTTGAAAGTTCCATCGACTTCCCAACTCTCCCAACTTCAACTTTTCAACCACCAGCGACAACGACAACGACAACAATAACGGCCATTATCCCTAGGTACGGCTATATTCCACTTTATTTCGTCAATTAACTTCTATATAGGTAATTGACGCAATGACGATAGCGATGGCGATGAGCCGATGACGATGACGATGCCGATGGCGATGACGATGCCGATGGCGATAACGATGCTGATAACGATAATAATGTTAATAATAATACCGATGTTGATAGCGATGGCGATATAAGGTGGTGAATTTCGTAAATTAGATTTTAGGGGGGGGGGGGGGGGAAGGAGGTCTTGGGAAAGTACGAAGTCTTAGGAAGCCACGAGGTCTTGGGAAGCCACGAGGTTTCAGTTACCTTACCTTAGTAGAGTAATTTCGTAGTGTAGAGTAGAAAAAAGGCAAGAAGCACCCATTCCCAAACTAATCCAGCCAATCAGATCCCTCAGATCTTTCTGGAATGGTTTTTCTAAGCTGAACGGTTATTCTAAGCTCAACGGTTATCTCCAAAGATGGTGTTTGCTTACAATGAACAGTACCATGGAGGTACGGTGATATACACTCCCAATATCCCATTAATGTGGACTTGTCGGGCTTGGCAGCGGCAGCTGGAGAGTACGACGGGCGTCGATGCTCGTAAGAGAAGACGATCAGGTCTTGATGTGACCAAAAGTATTCGGTCCAGCCGCATTAGAGGGCAGTCCTATGCCCATATCACTGATCAGCAGCCGTTGCGATCGGAGGGAAAATGGGGGAACTAACCAAGCAAAGAAGTTCTGCAACTGCGCAAATGTTAACAGCGTCGGAGTCTGCAATCCAGTAAGTCAGCCAGTATCCATGTCATTCTTTCGTCCCTACCTAGTCTATCCCCTCTTCCCATCTCCTCGGCTCTCCTTTTGCTCCTCCTACACGCACGCATCTCAATCCCTCAACACACACCGCCCGTGTCCACGACCCTCTATCGTTTCTCGTACCCGTAAGGACTAGAATCGCCTTCTACCCAGGCGAAACGGGTACGTCCCTAGTCTCATCCTTTATATCCATCCCTGGGGTTAAGCCAAAGCCGGAGCCAGCATTAGAAACGGCACCTACGGAAATTACGGTCACTCTAAGCATTTCCAACTGTGTCGAGTTTATAAAGAACGGATTTTGTAGACCTAATAACCCCCGCTCATTGGCGTCCATCGTTCCCGTGTTCTCGATAACATAGATCTCTTCCGCCGGCCAGCCTGCTGCAATGTAGCTGGACACACATTGCAATAGCAGCGGCCAGTTGCGAGTGAACCCGATTAGCAGCGGTGCCACGCCGGTCGGGTTGAGGCTGGAGTGGTAAGAGGACGAGGCGGGAGGATCGAGGCGACGGCCAAAAGACTTGCTGCCGAAGCGGGAGAAGTAAGACCTCGAGGGCTGCTGGGTGAGTTCCTGGGATCGAGAAGGGTGGAGGTGGCGAAAGTGCGAGGGGCGGTTGATCTCAGGTGCCTGTAGAAGCCTTTTCAGTTTGCGAGGCGTCAAGTCGGAAGAGAGGAGGGGGAAAGGGTCAATAATTGGAGGAGACAGAGGAGTGGGAGGGAGGAAGACAGGCGGAGACACGGAGGCAATTTCCGCTTCGTTCCAGGTAAAAAAGTCCTCTTGGAGCTTTGTTTGGGGGACGACGGGCCGGTGGACATCTCCGGCGCCGTATGGCGGGAGATGTGTCATGCTGGAAATATGAGATACGGGGGCGTTATTTGAGGAAGTATTGGGCGGATTTGATAGGTTGGACGACCAGCTGATGAGGCAGACAGAAAAGAGGAAATGGGCGGTGGTAAGGACAAAACAAGCAAGGAAGAGGCGGTAGCAGATACGGGTGGGAAAGTGCGAAAGTCTCGCGAGATTGATGATTGTTCGTGCCATTTTGGGCTGGGAAGGTATCAGGAGGGCAGGACAGAACGGGATGGGATGGGATGATCCGTGCTGTGTTGGTGTCGAGGAAGACGGAAAAGGGGAGCAGCAGATAATCAAGGCGATGGATACCTAGCCAAAGTTCGATGACTGGGCAAGGAAAAGATGTAAACATCGCAGCTGCTATTGCAGACACGACCCACAGAATCAGATAGCGCCAATATGTCAACATGTGCCGGTTTGGTCCAGATCGAAGAGGGAGGCTGCAGCGCCCCTGTGCAGGAACCTGGAAATCCAGCATTATCTGCAATTGGAAACAACGACATAGCACTCAATGCAAAAAGCTTGGAACTGTGGTCACGCTGAGATTGATGTTCAAATCGCCTTCATCGCTATCTATTTCAACATTGAACTTGGTAGGCCTCGCCGATGCGCCTCAGAGGGCTGCTTAAAGGCATTTTCCCCGCGCGCTTCTCCGCCTCTGGGCTCACCCTTCTCCCGTCTTTTGAGTCTGCTATGCCAGCAGTCGCCTCCAAAGGCCCAAGGTACGAGATTGATCTTCTCATCCTATCAAAGTAAAGGCGGACAAAGTCTATTGTACAGGAAGCGGAGTAGGAACATATTGTACAAGCGGTGGTGCGAGCTAGCCTTGGAAAGAGATAAAGTAAACAAAGGGAAAGTGTACCTAGACATGCATTGCTCGTCCATCGACAAGGAGCACCAAGATGCAAACATCCAACAAAAACCAAGACGTGCTTTAGTGTTCCGCCCCCCAGAGGCTCCCACTCCTAGAAGGACCACCCGTTTCATTCCGTGTAGACCAGTCCGTGCGTGAATGATAGTAGAAAGATGAAGGAGATTATGAATGATGAAGCGTGTAATGCAGAGCATGATGATGACGATGATAGAAGATAGAAGTTCGGAGTGAAATGTCCCTCTACATAGGTATCCTGAAGTGCAGACGTGATGAACAAAAAAGAGAGAAAACAAAAGAACGCAACCACCCTCCTTGAGCGCCCAATGCTATAAGATATGTTATCCTAAACCAAAAGAAATGAAGCCGTGTTAGTTTGACAGCATGAGCTGTATGAGCACGGGTATTGGGTTCGTCCTTCAGATAGAGCCTTCTTCCCGGCGGTCACGAAGCGGATGACGAGGCGGACGTGGCGGACAAGGCTGACAATGATCCCACCCGACAAAATGCTCATCATACCCAACGGTGGCAGACGCAAGACACTATTCCTCATCCAGTGCCCCCATCTTTCCATCCCCCTTTCCACTCTTCTTCATGTTTCCCAACTTCAGCATGCTCAGCCTTTTCTTGACACTCGCACTGCCGTTGTGGAACTTGTCTTTAAGCTCCTTCAAGTCTCTGTCCTCCTCCTTGTCCTCCTTATCTTTCTTGCTCTTCTTTTCCTTCTTCCCATATCCACTAACAGACACACCATTCAGCGCCGCTGCCGCCGCTCCGCGTTCCCTTTCTCGGTCAAGCTGGTCGGATTGCGATTGCAAGGGTGAATCCAAGTTGGGCTGAGAAATAGAAGGGGATGAGTACTCCGTCTGCCAGTCCGTATTTCCACCAACACTGTCAGCCACGCCGTTGATAGCGTTAATGAGGTGAACCTTATCGGAAGAGCTGAAACCGCGAAGGAAGGAGCGGCGGTTCGCCTTCCCTATCGACCCGTACCCTTCTTGTGTGTTGTCGGTTGGCTGTTGCTGCTGCTCCTTCCTGCTTTGAATTACATTGCTAGGGGCAGAGGGGCTTCGGTCGCCATTGGTGGTGGGCGTGTTCATCACCGTTGCTGATGCTGATCCAGTGTGCATGTCCTCGTGAGATTTGGACCTGCTGGCGAGGTTGTGCTCGCTACCGTTCAGTAGGTGGGGAATAGAACCGGTTGACGATAGCTGATGAGCCGTGGGGGAGTTCCCATCCTTCCTCCTTCCTCCCAAGAAACTCAGCCTTGCACCACGTCCTTGTCGTAGGGAAACGGGTTGGGAAATTCCGGTGCTGACCACAATTTCGCCTAGAACATCTGTTGTTTCGCTTGCGGTGTGAGCATGGCCTTGAGCGTTTGAGGAGATGCCGAGACCGTGGCCATTTGCCAAAGAGGCAGTGGCGGATAGGTGGTGTTTGTGCTGTCCGGTTGCGGAATTGAAAGCTGAAGGCCCCGGTGATCGTGGCCAGGTTGGCGAGGGTGTGATACCGCCGGTGCGTTCGCTGCCGGGAGAGGGATGGGGAGCGCGGGCGGGTGGTGGTGTGAAGATTGCGATTTCGGGGGCGAATGTTCGTTCGAAGACTGTCTGGGTTAGCGCCACATCGTCCAGCACGATGGTAACACAGGGGGACTTACACTTCTGCAAATCTTGCCCATGTTTCCTCACCATCTCCCTAGGGCTCTTCGCAAAGGTTGCCAAACACCTCTTGATCATAATCGCATGATCCACTAACGCCATCTTGATGGCGTTCTCTTGGGCATCAATCTCTGGGGGGGCGTCTTCCTCGTCCTCATCCTCATCACTCCCGCATCTTATTGTGATTGGCGTCGTGCTCCCCATTCCAGGAATCAGCTCTCGGTACCTACTCACACTCGCTTCGCTCTCCGGATTTACACTGATGCTGACCGCATCGACCAACAACATCACGGTAGCCTCATCACTTCCCTCACCCCCTTGCGCCTGTCCTTCTGCTACCTTCTTCTCAACAGCCGTCATCTCTCCCGTTTTTCTCACGATCCTCTCCAGGGCCGTCTCCTTTGCTGTCAACCTCACATGCTTGATTTCAACGATCTCGCTCCGTTTGAGTATGGTTGGGAAAGGTTCGGCGGTGGTGTAGAGGGTCTTCTCAGCGTAATGATCCCTTACATCCCCGTTGGTGTCTCTCTTTGTGCTGACGCTAAACGTTTGAGGACTGGAAGAGATAAGATAGTCGCGGATGATTTGTGGAACGCGAGCGCGCTGGAAGACGGTATGCGTGAGGTCACGGTGGGGGGAAATGGCTGATATGATGAGGAACTGGCCTTCAACGTCGTACTCTGCAGTGTCACGGTCATAAGAAGGGGTGATGATCTGCGCAGATGGATACATCTCCTGCATGCGATCGGTGAATCCAGCCGTGCGTTCGGTAGGGGATGCGCCCTCGAAGACGAAAGCCTTGTCGCGTACGGAAGGAGGGAAGCCGAGACCCTTGTAGACGACTTTGAAGTACTTGGGTATGAGCTTGTCGGTCTTGTGTGCTATGGTCTCGTAAATGGTGGCAATGGCCCGTTGTGTGCGGGCGAGCTTAGCGAAGTCGAAGATGTTGGACTCGTACTGGGCTTGGAGCTCTTTGTACGCAGCGAGCGCGCAGGACCAGGCGTGCCCGTCTTCGAAGTGCCTGATCATGTCGAAGTAGATGCGCTCCTTGCGCTCAAAATGGGATTGCGCTGGAAAGCAAGGATCGTCGAGGGCGGGTGTGGTTTTGAGAGGGTCCCAGTCGTAGAGGTCTGCGTGTAGGCGTAGAGCGAGCCCAGCTTCGGCGTAGTTCCGGGCCGAGGTTTGGAGGCTGGCGAGCTGGTGGACGTAGCGGATGAAGATTTCCTCCTTTTGCATGTCGCGAAGGAACTCCATGAGACGGAGGCGGTGAACGAGGTTGGAGGTCTCACCTGAACCGTCACCGCCGTGGACGGCAACCAGCAAATCGAGGAACTCGTCGACTGTGCCCATCAGCTTACGGATGGCAGTGTACAATGGCTCGTCTGGGATCTTGGAGAGGGGTTCAAAGCGGTCCAGAAGCTCGCTCACAAACAGCTTCTGGAGGATACTCTCTGTCAATGGCTTTTCCTTAAAGTAGCCATCAAGACAGTCGATGATCTCCATCTGAATGACTGACAAATCCTCGCTCAGGGTCCACTCGCTGACGATCATGGTCTGCAGAACCTCTACAGCCATCCTCCGGAGACCCTCGTGGACACTAAGACAAAGCTCAACAATGGGCCCAACAAGCGTAGGCACATACTGCACCTGATAACCGCCCATCTTAGACAGCCCATACCGTGCCCTCTCCTCCAGGCTTGTCTCCCATCCAATAGCCTCCCACGTTTTCCTCAGCAGATCGGCTCCATGCTCTCTGACATCGCCTGCAATCTTCCAGACTGCTCTTCTCTTTTGCTCCGGGAACGTCTCCAACGCCAGCGAGGGGCTCCCCACCAGCTTGAGCAGCGTAGTGAAGAACATCTTCCACAGCTCGGTGTCAAAGTTCTCGGCCTCATCCGGATGCGGGAGGAAAGACTCGAGCAACAAAGTAGCAAGATATTGCAGCATCCGCATGGTCGACTTGTGATGGAAGATGTGCACGCTGAGCCAGTTGGGGGGGAAGGTCTCGCCTTGCAGAATGCTCATGAGTACGCGGAGGCAGCTTTCGACAAGGATGTTGAGATCGTCTTCCGCCAGCTCCAGTTGCATGCCGCTGGGGGAGTTGGACAACGCTGACAGGACAGCAGAGAGCTCGATGAGGGCTTCGTCAAAGACCACCTCTTCGGCAGTCGGCTTGGCGGGGAATGGGTATGATGTGGGGAACAGAAGCGACAAACGGTTTTTGGGCGTCTTCTCGGCAGCCTGGATGGCGAGGTAAGACTGGATAATTTTGGGGATATAATCTGGGATCTCCGGTCCGAGATGCTCGACCTGGCTGGCAAGCACTGAGCAGCACAGCCGCACCTGTTCTCTCCATTGCTCCGTCACCTCATCGGTATGCCCCCAGTGCGGTGCGATCCACCTCACGGTATTAGCGCTCAAGGCGGACCGCTGCTCTGGGTGCGAAAAGATGTCGAGCTTGGAGT